TATCGATGGAATATTGTCTATACGCGAGAGTCCAGGGAAAGGCATTGTTGTGGCACGTCTTCGTTGATTTGGACGTTGGAATACGGATATCCAGGATGCGTTATTGTGGGGCAGAGGGGGTTTCTATATCCTGTGCAGGATTTATATATCCCGTGCAGGATTTATATCCAGTGCGGATTTATATATCCGGGGCGGGATATGCTATATATTCCCAGTCCGGGGTATGTATAATCCGGAAGGGCGTTGTATAACCAGCGCGGATTTTAACATAATAAAACCTAAACGACATTCAACCATATCTGCTTAGATAGATATGGGCTCTCAGTACTAGTAGTGTGTTGTGACAGGTATAGCTAAACAAAGTCATTCTACAGAGTTTTGAGGCGTTTGTACCTAGGGAGGAGTTTTGTGAGATTTCACGTGTGCCATCCCTGGCATTCTACCGATTGCTCTAATACTAAAGTATATTACTACTGTGGATGTGGACTTTAGGCTCATCTTACTTACATGAGTTGAATGGTATAAAAGACAAAAGTTAAAATATTGTAAATCAATAATATGGGGGGGGGGGGGGGGTAAGGGGGGGGGGGGGTATTCTATTGTTAAAATGAAAAGCACTAAAGTGCAAACCCTCGGCGAACTGCGCATGTGCGGTACCACTAATTGATGGGCTGGGTTATTTATGCCTTTATCCCGCTAGTAGCTCGCGGAGAGTCTGGCACGGGCTAGCTACAGTAGTAAATAGCATGCGTGAGTCGATACATACCCTTCGTTGTGACTTGTTGTGCCTTCAAGACACACAGAGCGAACGGACGCGGTCGAGGTAAGCCTGTGCTAATTTACATATTGGCTTGTTCACTGGTTTTCACGCCATAACTTTAAACACAGTAGTTTTACGAAAATCGCCTTTTTTATAAATCAACCCAGTGTAGCACTGAACCCGATCATATCGTTATTTACCTGATTTCGTGCGCGCGGTGGCAGAAAACGTGGTAACAGACAGACAGACTGACAGACTGACTGACACACTTACGGGACAACTACCGTAACCCTCGCTGCGCATGCGCGCCGAGGGTTAATTACTCCATGTCCACAGTGTATATACATACGATTCTACACACAACGTTCACATTCTAAGACAAAGTCATTGTGTTAAGGGAGCTATGTTAATGTTTAGAAGTAGGGACGCTTACTTACATTCATTGCTAACTGAGCAGTTTTTTATGTGTCAACGTTACTCCTTCAAACTTGGATAGGATCCACCACTGCTCCCCGTTTGAAGACAACTACAATAGTGAAGCAGGAGACAGTGATGGAGCTTCCACAATCCTGCCCATTAAAATGAGCCAATCAGTTCCTGTGAGAAGAAGGCAGTGTGGTATACAACAAGGGATAATCAAAGGGAGTGGCATTTGCAGTCCTATCCTAATTCTTGACAATTCAGATTTGCAGATCTCATCTTGGAATCAATGTTAGGTTCTATTGTGTTTTAACAACACATAAACTAATTTTTACTTGGACATTCATCAATTACAACCACTCTGGCAGTCAACTGCTCCATGTAATATGAATTGAAAAGGAATGTTGTTGGACACTGAAAAGTATTTTTTTCAGTTAAAACTCAACACTCTTAAAAAACACTGTGATTCTCACCACTGAAGTTTCCTCTGTAGAACGGGTATAAGTACGCCACTGCTAATGTTATAAAAAAGGGGGATGGAGGTTTTCTATCATGTTGAATTTTCAGTGGTGTTAAGAATGTGCCTATGCGCATCATATGAGCATGTGTTGATGGGGGTAGGTAGTCAGTATTAATGATAAAAGAAATTTTTTCCCTGCAAATGTAAGCAATTGCCAGGACACCTGGAATTGAGTAGCTGATAAAAACCTTTGTGCCTAACCTTAGCTGGAGCTGGTTAGAATCATAATTCAGAACCATACATTAATTATTAGTCTTACACACTGAGGAGACTAAAGACGTTGTTGTATTTGAGAATGGTCCCAAACCCACAGTTAGTTTTTGCAGCCTCTTATAGAAAAATGTCAATAAGGCTGTAATGTTTTTAGGTCAGTTACCATCCTGTGGCATTTTTGTAATATGCTGTAGGTAGGAGGAAATAATAGGATGGAGGTTCAGAAATGTACAGATGATTGAAATAAGCCTTCTGTGAGAAACTGCATGATTTTTCCACTGTATAACTGTCAGGTTACCAAATCAGCTGATTTGTCATTTCTCTTCTTCCTCTCTTGAAGGCAGCAACGAGAGTAAGTGTCTGGAATCAAGCCACTGCGATACATTTGAGGGGGACCATGGAAGCTGGAGAAAGAGTTGTTTCACACAAACCAGTTTTATGAAGAAATGATAATTAATTACCAGCTGGTGGTAACTCAATTTGGATGATCACCTCCCTTTTAAGCCTTGAGGGTCCTTGGCGCTACGGACAGTAATAAACAGTAGCAGAGTAGCATGCGAGGAAAGGCTGATGAGGATGTGTTTGTGTAACAGTACAGCTTGTTGCTGCCACAGAAGTAAGTAATTGTGGTGTTTCCAACGAAATGCTTATCGAATTGAAAATAGAGGACTACTGCCCTACATATTCTCATTATTTTTACTTTTCTGTTTCTTCTGTGTCCAGATGAAAGATTTGTAAACTAAACATCATATCCTACAAAAATTGGATATACCTAAGTTGTTGTTTGGAAATATATATGGTGTCTGATATCGACCAGTAATGCAGCCACGCAGCAACTCAGGAGGTCTAGTTTTAGTATTAGGATGAAAGAGAAGTTAGCAGTACTTTCGCATCAGAACCCGAGGTGTTATGGTGTGTACAGTTTTCGTCAGAAGCACGAACTATTAGGTCGTGTTCTATTTTATTTGGTAGCTATTCACAGGTGAGGAGACCAATGACCAGCGCACATGTCGACCCTATCTCCAGGGACCAGAACATGGGACAGAGCACTCAACGGTGCTGAAAAAATACAGGGATGTCTGTTGTACATATAATGCCTACTGTTACTAAACATTTCTCATCTGACTGTGCATCACTTCATGTAATTGGTGAGTATGGTCCATTCCCTACTGCTGTAAAAGCTGTCATTGCATACGTATAAACAGTATGTGAGTGCATATTATGCACAACAAATGACTTCTGTTGACTGCTGGGGTAATATTGTGAAACATGGTGTGTTTTCAAGTTCTCAATATTTATTCCATAACCTATCAACTTCCCATTTTTCTCTTCCACAGGTGGTGGGTTCCACTGGAGATGCAGTGTAAATGGATCATATGGCACAGCAGTGATGTTCTGAGGATAATCTGAAGGTACTATGTACCCACATTCAGATAATGCACTATGCAACAAAAGATTCACACCAGCTCACCATCCTCAGGAAGTTGAAAAAATAATTCAGAAGAGGGTCCTAGACCAAAGTTGGCTTTGAAGACCACTAAGCTTTTGTATAAGTAATTAGGATGCAGCGATGCTATCAGAATTGATGTTGATGCTGTCACATAGTTTTCACCATTCAATGCTCCAAACTCTGTCACATTGACATAGTAGTCGATAATTGGCATATCTACATCAGTTGGAGGTTGCCAAGAAATATTCACCAAGCGAGGAGAAGACAGCAAGTGCAGTTAGAGACTGCACAGCTCCAGGAACTGTAATATCAACGTAGGTAGCCACTTAGTTTTCAATTAATGTGCCGGTAGCTATGTGTACATACCCTCAATTTTAGTAGTGGAGAAGGATTGAGAGACTGGGCCTTGTGACTCTGTCTCTCCAGCAACTGAACAAGCATAAGTTCTGCCAGGTTTGAGGGAGCCAATGTTAACTAATTGTTGTGATGTGACATTTGTAGTGTTGCCAGAAATTGGTGTGTCTACTACAGTTGCAACATAATGATAAACTCTACTGCCATGAAGTTCATCCGGTCCTGGTTGCCACAGATTAATAACAATTTTGGAATTGTTGGTGTCTGGCAGGGGACGGGATGCAGCTGAGATGAATTGAAGCACGGAACAAAATTAAATGATACGTTCTTAGCTACTCACCTTCTTCTGGCATAAGAACTGACACATGGTCACTAAATTGTCCAAGACCAACTGTTACTGCAGCAACTTTGATTTCATAGACATAGTATGGGTGCAGAGATGATATAATCGAATGAGTTATACTATCTGTTGTATTGTACCAACTCATATCACCAGTAGCTACTTCGAGTACTGTAATACTGTAGTAGCGGAGATCTCCATTTTGTTTTTCCTGTGGTGGAGCCCTCCATGTTACTGAAATACTGTTAGATGAAATTGGATTAACAGTAATGTCTTGTGGTGGTGCTGAAGGAACTATGGTGGAAACAACAGAGAGAAAAGTAAAACCCGTCATAAAGTGATCAATAATACATACTATCCTCTGCAGTCTTAATTAACTCAGCTGTTGAATTTGGTCCTGGTGCTATTGTAACTGCACCCACTTTGATCTGGTAGAAGGTGTAGGGGTGAAGGTCAGTGATTGTGAAGTTTGTAGACGAGGTGTTTGTGTGCAGAGCACGGAGTATCGTATTTGAAGAAGAAATTTGTGTGATGTAGACAATGTAATATTGTAAAACACCATTCCACTGTGAAGTTTTAGTAGGAACAGTAAGGGAGTTGCAGAACTTACCATCCTCGAGTGTAGTGATATCAAGAGAATCACTGTAAGGCCCTTGACTCACACTAACAGCCGATACTTTACAACTGTATGTAAGAAATGGAGACAGTTCTTTAACAGTTACTTCCCTTATACTGGTACTGAGTTCCATCATGCTGTCATTTGAGTCCCTTTCACTGCACAGTACGGTATAGGATCTAATTATTCCATTGTGATGTTCTGGAGGAGGTGCCTCCCACTCTAGGTGGATTGAAGTGGATGTGGTATTCACAGCTTTGAAGGAAAGTGGCCTAAAAGAGGGTGCTGCATTTAACAACAACAAATGATGAACAGTTAAGGAATAGAACTGCATGTATATACCATCTTGTAGAGTATCCACAGTCAAGTATGTACTAAATGGGCCTTTTCCAGCTGAATTCCTAGCAGCAACTCTCATCTGATACCTTGTATGTGGAACCGCAGCTATACTATATTCTGTTGAATTGATGATAAATGATACACTGTCATTTCCTTTATTATTGGAAAACTCTACAGTGTAACCATAAACAACTCCATTTTGGGCATCCGTTTGTGGAGCAATCCAACTGAGAGAGATTTCATCAGATGATACATCTTTTATCATTACATTTGGCGGTCCCGATGGTGCTAAAAAGTGAATGATTGTAATAGCTTCTAAGGTTACCAAAGTTCTGAAAAATGGAAAATACCTGACTCAGGCATACTAATGGTCCAATAAGAGAATGGCCCAATTCCCACAGTTTCAGCAGCTACACCAACTAGGTATTCATAGTAAGGGTGAAGAGATTCAATAGTGATATTGAGCCATTTGGAAGTCAAAACTGTAGCATTTTCCACTGCTGTTGTCTGAACACTAACAGAGTACGATTGTATGATGCCATTTTGCATTTCTACTGGTGGAGGTAGCCAGGAAACAAAGAGGCTTTCTGACGAAAGTAACTGGATAGACATATTTGTGGGTGTACCTAATGGAACTGCAATAGAACAAAATAATAATGAAGAAGTTGCAGTTTTATCAGTTGGTATACATACTGTCTTCCATTGTCTGTATATCAACATCAGTTGAGTTGGGTCCTGCCACTGTGGTAACTGCTGTGACTGTGACAGTATAGATGCAGAAAGGGTGAAGATCATTAATCGTGTATTGGAGCTGAGGAGATGGTGTGGTGTATTTGGTAGACTCCAGCCAAACCTCTCTTGGAGTAACATAAATGATGAAATTTCGGATAATTCCATTTTGGTGTTCCATTCGAGGATTATTCCACTTTATAGTGGCATTTCTTTTTCCAACATCTTTAACTTTAACCTGACCCGGTGGTGCAGATGGACCTATCAAACAGAGATGCACATCATAGTTATTGTGATCTCTTCCCACAATAAATACATATTAAACAAGAAAGAGGAAAATAAAACAAAGGAGAGAGAACACTAATAAAATCACATACTGTCTTCAAATGTTGTTGCTTTTACATAGTCACTGAAAGGACCAATATCCACAGTTACTGCCGAGATATTACATTTGTAGGTGTAATACGGGTGGAGCCCAGTAATAGTGACATCAGTCATTACAGTTTTGTGTCTTGAAGATATCCCTCCACTGTTTGAGTCAATACAAAAAACTAAATAATATTCAATTTCTCCATTTTGGTGCTCTGAATGGAGGTAGGGCTAGAGGGTATAGCACAGACTCCAGTTGGTGGACTAGAAGGTGCTGTAAGTAGATAACACGTGTCAGAAGTTAGTAGGTGATCTAAGTCTGGCATACCTGTAGGTGGCATACGAACACTCTCTGGAATGCTGAATGGCCCCACACCGACAGTTACAGCAGAAACACTAATATTGTACAGGTAATGGGGATGTAGTGGTTCAAGGGAAAAATCTGTTGCATTATCAGTGGTGTTTATGGTCTTTAAAAAAGTTTGTTCCTCTAGCACTCTTATGATATAGAATCGAATAATGCAATTTTGAAAGTTGATGGGTGGAGGCTGCCATTTTATTGACAGAGTCAATGGAGAGATCGGAGTAAGCAACAAAGCAGTCGGTGGACTGGATGGAACTGCAAATATGCAAGAAAACCATCAACCTATTGTTACTCTGCCTCTGCTAACTTGTAAGCACCCACTATGCGGAGGCAGTTCAACTTGCTTCAAAAACATGTTGACAGGATTTGGAATGGACAACAGGTGAACTCAGAATGAGCCTAATACAACACAATCACCTGTTTGGCCCCTACTGCTACACTTTGGGCCCTACATTTTATCACCCACTCTGCAGGGGCAGTTGTACAATTTTCTTGTAGTTGGCAAAAGTAAACAACTGGCTCACCCTCTTGCGCAGTATGCACTGGTATGCTCTCTGAGTATGGTCCAGTGGCAACTGTGACTGCTGCTACAGAAACATTGTAGTGTTTGTGCGGCAGGAGTCCAAACACTGTATAAGTAGTCGAAAAAGATGGTGTTTTTTGTGAAAATCCTGAGGAAGGAGAGTCAATTGGAAACACTTTAATTATGTAATGACGTATTATTCCGTTTTCATGTGCTGGTATTGGTGTACTCCAAGAAAGTGACACAGAGTCTGTGCTCTGGTCTGTCACCACCAAGTTCCTCGGGGGGCCAAATGGAGCTGTATTATTATGTTTAGTGTAATACATTTTATTTGACATTGTTGTTTTCCTACCATCTTCAAGTGTGGTTATATTCGTAGAAGCACTGAAGGGGCCGAGCTACACTGTGAATGCTGACACATTGCAGTTATATGTGTAGAAAGGTCGAAGCCCGTAAACGGTTTTTTTGTAGAAGGAGTTTGATGTTGAAATAGTGATCCACTATAACCATCCCAACAGAGCACAATGTAGAAGTCAATCTCTCCATTTTGATGCTCCTCTGGTGGAGGGTTCCATGATAGGCTGATGGTAGTGGAGCTAAGAGGTACACCTCTTAGATTTATTGGATGATGCGTGGGTCCTATCATATCAGTGCAATAGTGTCATAAAGGGTATAAATACCATTACACTTAACTTACCATCTTCTTCAGTATGTAATTCAACAACAGCGCTAAATGGTCCTATACCAACTGAATTTGCTGCAGCTATACTCAGGACATACTCTGTGTGTGGATTTGCCTTTAAAGTGTATTCAAGGACGTCTGCTGATACAAACAGTCTCTGCTCTTGCCCATTTACAACATAGTTAATAACATAGCCACTTATATTGCCATTTTGGTGATGAGAAGGTAAGCTTCTCCAACGCAGAAGCACTGAGTGTGAAGTTGTTTCAGTGAAGGTTATATTAGGAGAGGAACTTGGTTCTGTATAATTATGAACAATGTGCTCAAAGAATTACAATTTGTATAATTATAGCTGAACCTGACGGAAGAGTTTTTGCCACAATAGTGTTGCTGTACTGTCCATTTCCAGTAGCTGGGATTACTCTTACTCTCATTTTATAGGTGTAAAATGGATGCAGATTAATAAGAGTCAACATATTTAGATTAGCTTTCTCAGACCATCTCCTTCCAGTGGGATATTCAGTTACTTTAACTTTATACCCAGTGATGGCTCCACTCTGTTCTGACACTGGTGGTGCTGTCCATGTGACAAAGATTCGCTCGTGGTCTAAAACGATGGCACTCACATCTTGTGGTGGGCTGGTTGTATCTGGCCAAAATAGGTATTTTAATTATTATTACAGCTGCAATACTCTAGGCACCTGGAGATGGGGTTCGAACTGACAGACTAGGGCTTGTGTACGGCCCTCTGCCAACCACAGTACTTGCAGCAACAGCAAACATATACAGCGAATTGCTCAAAAGGGAAGAAGCAATAAGGTTAAGTGTTTTAGTGACTATAGCGTATGAATGTCCTTCTTGTGATGTTATGTGTAGGGTATAGTTTGTGATTATTCCGTTTTGGTGAGAAAGTGGAGGAGAACCCCAAGCCAGAGTTATAGATGTTAACTGACGTCGAGTCACTCTCAAATTCAATGGGGGTCCATTGGGAGCTGCATAAAAACATTTTTAGCAATAGCATTTTGAATATTTTTTATTTTACCTGCTTCTGGCATTCTTACAGACATCTGGAGACTGTATGGACCTGTGTCTACAGTAAAAGCTGCAATGCTGTAGGTATAAATAAAATACGGGTGCAAGTTTTTGGCAGTATAGGATGTTTGAGTTACACTCCGTAGCCCAGTTGTGTCATTTAACTGAAGGTTGTAGTGATTAATAACCCCGTTCTGAGAGCTGCTTCTTGGAGGACTCCACGTAATAATAAAACTATAAGCATTGAGCACAGTATGACGAGAATAGCGTGGGGCTTCAGATGGTGCTGTAATCATGAAGGGGAATAATATTATACATTATAGTTAAAAACTACTGACCATCTTCAGATGTCATTACAGAGAGCTCTGAAGAGTATGGTCCGGTTCCACTCACTGTTGCAGCTGCAACTGCACATCCATAGCTGGTGTGTGGGCTCAGATGCGAAGCAGTGTAATTGAGAGTTTGAATAATCGCATATGTGCGTGTCCCTGTTCGCCTATTTCTAAGTCGTAGACGGTAGTGTGTGATAATTCCATTGTGATATTTTGGGGGGAGTGGCTGCCATGTAATTTGGAAAGATGTACTTGTCACAGCACTTAAAAGAGGCACACTGGGTGATGCACTTGGCACTGTAAAAAACAAAAAATTTTATGTAAAGTGCGTGATGATGCATTGCAAATACCATCTTGGTGGATTTGAATTAGTTGGATAAGAGAGTAAGGTCCTTCCAGTATTGTAACTGCTGCCACTTGTAAAGAATATGTGTGGTATGGCTGTAGCCCTGAAATTTGCAAAGTTTCCGAGGTTGTTGTTAGAGTTCTAGTGGAGGTGCTCTGGTCAATTATTCTGACGCGGTACCATCTTATAATGCCATTGCGGGTGGCAGGGGGCTGCCAGGTGATGGAAATGGAACGAGAGGAAGTTGCAGTTACTATTGCACTCCGAGGAACTGATGGGGCTAAAACAAAAAAAGACACTTGTTTCTAAAGCACTACCAACATAATTATCAACTAACCTGCTTCTCTTGTACGGCGTGATATGCAGCTCTGTGAACCAAGCCCCACAGTGGTATCAGCTCGTACACAACAAGAGTATGAAGTGTATGCACTCAGCCCACTGACTGTGGCAGCGGTTGATGAGGTTGTGACTGAGCGTGTTGGCACCCCATATGATGTACAAGCTACTGAATATTGTGTTACAGTAGCAGTTGAAGGGGATGATGATAAAGGGGAAGACCATAATATCCTGATAGAAAAAGCAGTTACAGTTGATATCAACAATCGTTGAGGGGAACCTGGACGAGCTGTGTAAGTTTAATAAAGCACAAATCTCAGTTAGTGAGAAAGTGTCTTACATGGTGTGCAACGTACTCCTGCATCTTCCCATGGTTACATGACCTGATATTTTTGACATTTTGGTAGGCACAGCTTGATAGCCCCTGCTCAGTACCATAGCATGAAACAGCATCCATTATGATAGGCAAGGAATATCCAGGAGGATAGTATGAATACAATGCTCTTGCTCCTGTTTTGGGGGTGGAGAGCTGTGATAAATTGAATAGATGAGGAACAATACCAGAAATTTGATATCCAAGTTGTCTGCAAACAACTTGGGCATCCGAGGAGCTCCATCCATCATCACACACAGTTCCCCATCTACCACTGAGGCACACTTCCACTCTACCCTCATTATGAGTCCCTCCATTTGTAAGTCTTACTTCACCCTCTGAGCACACTCCACCTATTGAAGAACTCTATTAACGTACTAGCACTTCAAGCCTTAACAAACAATCTTATGGAGCACACTCCACCTATTGAAGAACTCTATTAACATACTAGCACCTCAAGCCTTAACAAACAATCTTATGGACCTGCCAGATGTTATGTGTCCAGTGTTAGCTAAGTATTGGAGGCACAGCGAAAATGTACTTACATCTTAGTGTAATGTCTTCACTATGCACACAATTGTGCTGACCAACAGTCCTATGAGGACAATTCAAAATAGTGTTTTCCCGGCCCCTGCAGGCTACATCATCCAGCAGTATAGGCACTACTGATGTGGCAGTACTGAAGATATTGTTGGTTAGTCGTCCCACTGCAAAAAGAGGGTACTCAAAGGGGCAGGAAAGTAAGGATAGCTACCTATAGAATGCAAAATGAAATTTTGACTGATTATAACATTATCTAAAGGCTGTTTGACTTCAAGTCATAATGTAAGGACACATTTTGCATATTAAGTCGTTCTGTAAATACTGTATAAATCTCTGCAGATGGTTTAAATTTATAAGGAGTTAGAGAGCTTTAGGCTTTATGTGTTGGAACACGAGATATTTTTAAACCCGTGTAGAGAAAGCATCTACCGATGCTTTTATTTGTGATGCGGAACATGTAACTACCATTTGTCATTTCCTGAATGCCCAGCTGTCTACAGGCAACATTTGTAGAGCTTTGAGTCCATCTATCATCACAGACTGTTCCCCACTGGTAGTTGTAGCAAAATTCTAGCCTCCCCTCATTATCAGATAATCCGTCAACCAGCCAAAGATCGCCATTGCTGCATTGGGCTGGACCAAAAACATGAATCATAATTATGATAATTTTGAAAAGGTTCAATCCTGAAGTCCAGTCACTACTTTATCTAACATAAAATTTAATTGTAAGAACTTACAAGTCCGGCAACTAACTCCAACGTCATCTGCATGAGTACATTGGCCTGTGATGCCAAGCGGGTTAAAGGTGCAGCTCTGAAGAGAGCTTTCAGTTCCAGAGCACATAACATTGCTGAGATGTATTCTGCCTGTTTCTCTGACCAAGCAATGCATCATAGTAGCTCAAAGCACCTTTTCAAAGTAATTATATATGTTGTTGAGAGAAGGGGGAATATACACCTATCTAACTTTAACCTGAACGAATAAATCCGAGTTGTGAGCAAACAACTCGGGCATCTTCTTCTGACCAGTTTTGGTCACATATTGTTCCCCATGTTTCATCAATACAGACTTCCACCTGCCCTTTTAACACACTTGTTTCTGTTAATCCTTGAACACTCACAAGACGAACAGAGAAATCGGCACACAAGCCTAGTGTACAAAACTGTTTAAACTCACCACATCGTGTTACAAAGCTTACGTTGTTGACAAATTATGCCAGCGTCTTCGTAATGGTTACAGTTATGATCGGTAGTGTGACGACAATCTAATAGTCTAAGTTCTGATCCACGGCAGTGAACATCATCCATGTGGATTGGTCCAGTTCCGGATGACCTATATTGTGCTCCAACAGCATCTAAGTAAGAGCATTATTGTGACATTTTGTGTAAGAAATATCTCAATTCCCTAAATCTAGCGTCTGGGGATTTATTAACCTTCAGCGCACATGTTCAGTATTTGGTTTGTGTTTTTGTGTCTGTCTGTCTCTTTATAGCAACCACATTTTTAGCCACTGTGCGCAACAAGCCTACGAAAAACTAATACTAGCCGAGTCTGTACTACATTTCAGATTTTGAAAGTTCCATTCAAAAGCTACGATGTGAAAACACAGTGAACAAGCCAAAATGCAAACTACCACTGTCTTACCTAGATAACGTTCCGCCTAATTGCATGCTGCAGAAGTTACAACGGTGATGCTAGTTACAATGTCAGACTGGCAAGAGACCAGAGGAGGTTGGACATGGTCACATGAATCGTGCAAGAATTCAAATTGGCTTGCTGATTGACTGTCAACCCAATATGACCTCTAGAGCTTTTGCTTTTGGTGATACAGCAGAAGATTCCCTTAGAGTTGTAGCAAATCTCTAGGTAATGTTTAGTACATTTAGCTCGGCACTTGCTCTTGATGTAATGGAGCTAGGGGATTGTCACTCTTTTCGCTACTTATCTATATATCCTCTATGGGGAATGAACTGCTGTATCAGCCAAAAAATTCATTACCAATGACATAATTGCTGCACATGTCCGACCTCTAGACCACAACAGTGTAGCCCAGCCTATCAATTAAAAGTTCTGACCTGAGCATGCGTAAGGGTGCAATGCTTATACGCCAAATTTATGCTTTTTATTGAGGACGTTTTTGCTGGTGTTGTCATTGGTTTACCAGTTATTATTAGGAAATGCAATGAAAAAGTAAGCTCACTGTTTCTTGAAAGCCCCAACTGGTAGCATGCAACTGCGGCATCACTGTTACCCCAGTAATCATCACAAACAGTTCCCCACAGTCCACCAACGCATAATTCAATGCGCCCACTTAGATAAGTTCCTCCAACTAACCGTATTGCTCCTTCTCTCCCAGTACATCGTTCTAAATTGAACAAAATTTTATTATAACTTTGCTATTATTATATTAGCGGTATATACATTTTATACTAGCCTGCACTTATGCTTGACTTTTCATGCTTGCACAATTGACTATTCTGGTAGCTATCTGCTTGCCTACTTAGATTTAAAAAAGGTGCTAGTGAGTATCTCTATGTAGCACACTTCTTTATCAAGATTATAGTAATGGAAAACTTGCACAAGGCTTCTGAGAAAAAAGGCGCTGTGTATAAATGGGTTCTCATTACCACATGGGCCAAGGCAACAACTAATAGCTATACTTACATCTTCACTGTGCTAATTTCCATATGTAAGTATTAATCAGAACTGTGTTGTCAAAGTGGATTAATCATTAAAAAAAGAATTTGTAAATCTACATAATTGTCTTGGACTTACCTGTACTACATGTAGGACCTGACCATCCATCCAGAATAGCATACACAAACTCCTGGATCGGTACAGAATCCATGTACACAAGGTGGACTGCATCCTATTTGCAAACCATAATAAGATAATTATGTTGGTAATGCAATGTTACATGACTTACGATAGCTACATGATGGTCCCATCCATCCTGAATAGCAGGTACAATGTCCAGGGCTTGTGCAAGTTCCATGCACACATAGTGGAAAGCAGTAAGCTATTTACATTATGTGATAGTGTGTGGTGATTATTAATCATAAAAAAATGAATTTGTAAATCTACATAATTGTCTTGGACTTACCTGTACTACATGTAGGACCTGACCATCCAGAATAGCATACACAAACTCCTGGATCGGTACAGAATCCATGTACACAAGGTGGACTGCATCCTATTTGCAAACCATAATAAGATAATTATGTTGGTAATGCAATGTTACATGACTTACGATAGCTACATGATGGTCCCATCCATCCTGAATAGCAGGTACAATGTCCAGGGCTTGTGCAAGTTCCATGCACACATAGTGGAAAGCAGCAAGCTATTTACATTATGTGATAGTGTGTGGTGATTATTTCTTTGAAAATCTGCATACCTGTTGTATATTTGCTTCCAGTCCATCCACAGCTACAAGCACAACGACCTGGAGCTATGCATGTCCCATGCCCACATCCACCAGTGCACACAGCTATGTTTACGAGTAATTATTTTTTGGGGTATTCCACTATAGCAACTCACGGTAACATTCATTTCCAGTATAACCTGGACAACACTCTCGTCGTAATCTATTAGAGTACAGGCTTACACTTCTGTATACTGTTTTGTATGCCATTCTGCATATTTATTGCACCATAATAATTATTGCTGTACCAAATTTGCTATATACTCCTTACTTGGAACAACGCCAGAACAGTCCACATTGTGTGTAGCCCACATACGACACATGTGAGGTTGTTGTCTAGTATCCAACGAGGTATGTTTCAGTACGATAGCAAACACTAAAGAAGATCACTCATTTATTATGGAGTATGCACACAAACTTTCTGTTAACAGGAATACACATTTGCAGCTTATGTAAACTAAAAGATTGGTGTTTGCATTCTTGGGCATAGGTTGCTATGATCCAGCACAATTCAGACAGATCATTCCATACACATACCCACTGCTTGGCCTTTCCCTGATTGATGAACACCGGACTGAAGCATCCTCACTGTGACCACAGTTATGATTAGAATTGTAAGAGCAGTAATAAAGCTTTGTCTCGGACTCACTACATGATACATCATCCATGACAATATTACCAGCTCCATAGCCAAAGTATGCTCTGTTTAAAGCAGTGGCACCTGCAGACAAACATTGGTAGGGATACTGCATTGCCACCAACTTACCGCTTGTTTCATATCCAAGCTGTCGGCATACAACCCTTGCATCATTGGAGTCCCAACTGTCATCACACACTGTCCCCCATGTGCCATCTGAGCAGACTTGCACTGTGCCTTCATAACATCGTTGACCTCTACCCAGGCAAATATCTCCAGTGTGGCATTGAATTCTGAATATGAATACATGTAAGGCAATGCACAATACTGCGACAATACCCTCACAGAGCTTCATTCACCACCAAAAGTGAACAAAATAAAAAATAAAACCAAAATATGGCTTATGTTGCTCATGGTTAGTCCCTAGCCACTACCTGCAACTGCGATGAGCAGCAACTACCGAGCTCTTTTATCAAAGCATGTAGAGCGTCGGAGCAACATAGCAGGCCTAAAGGTGGTGTGCATAGCTACTGACGTCTACCTGCCTCCATATATACATGCATCGCCCCCTCGTGTCGCTCATGTGAGAGCTAGCTACAAGTACTTGACAGGTACAGCAAACACGTACAATCTCTTTACCTTTGTCCCAAAGACATTATCTTAGTATGGATGGGCATGGTATAATACATAGCATAACTGCATGTAGTATATGGGGCTATGATATTGTTCATCTTCTTCAGACTGAATTCACATAGCTCAGAGTGATGAAGCAATGAAACTCTGTAGGAATGTAGATATCTATCACCGGATGTGCATGGTCATACTTGTTTTTTTGTTGAGAAACCCCCCTAATCAATATTAGTGCTTGTAGACACTGGGTCAAATCTTACGTGTTCCCTTACATAAAGTCTCAAAACTCGGTAACGATGACTCGCTATCCTTTTGAAACACACTAGCAATAGTGTAGCGGCCCATATCCAGCCATAGCTAAATGTGACTTAATATATACATGTCCTCAGTTCTCCACTTGAGATTTCGCTCATACAAAATTTCATGTTATTAAATATAGTTTCATTCTTGGCACTGCTGCAGGCCATCCCCATCAGCCTCTGGTCATGTTCCTCTTTCAATCCTACCCCACCTCCGTCAAACAGCTATTGGCGAGGTGCTGCGTTGACTGGTTCTGAATGCCTAGCCACTGCTACATGCCATGCAGCTCTCTCCTTGCCTCACCCCTCTTCTTACTCACGAAAACGTCTTCTCCATCAGGATTGAAACACAATAAGCAGTTGCCACTGCATGCAGCAGGGGATCTCCTTGACGGCTCTGTGACTGATCTCTACCCCATTGTTGAGCATATCAATTCCAAGGATGCTGGCCTGCATCTTGTAGCTATGTATATTATACCTCCACAACGGCACCCTGTTGGTCCCCCAGAAGACCTCGCAACTGCTCTCCACATAATCAGAGAGGAAGACCATATCTGTGGTATATACTTAAGAGAGTGTTTTTGACTGAGTCCAAATGTTTATGACCACATAGGCCATTGAACTCTGACCTCATGGCAGCTGAGGTGGTGTAGGCAGAGGAGGTTTGTCACCTCACATGACTCTCAATTTTTACAGCCTGTCTTCCGTATGGAATATGCAGCAGAAACTCTTGAGGCAAATCCACGTGAGTTCCAGAAAAGGTCTTACTGTGGTAGATCTGACTCAAAAAGAGGATACTGATAAGCTGGGTACCCTTCTATCCACATGGAATACTCCGTGCCACTTGGTACACGATACTTATAACTAATCTAACCAAGCAGTAGCTACTTTTTTCAATCCTCTCTAAACCTTTCTGCAAATGCATTCTCTGAATTTCGAGCTACTGAACTTGGAGAGGTGGAAGGCAGCCATGCGGCATGCCCTGCAATCCTTCACCCACTATATAATTGGAATTCCTGCACGATTGGTTAAACCTCCTCTGGTGTAGGTGTAGGCAATTTAACCTTCTTGAACCACTTCAGTGCAGAAAAACAAAGTGTGTAGGGGTCATTCAACTCTTCTTGCACATGAGCAAGTTGTGGCGGAAATTTCTTACATTGTGCTTAAAATCCTTGCACATTTACAAATTTCCGGCACATTCCCTAAACATTTTGATATGGGTTTCTTTTTTACAACAATGTTATTAACCCTCGGCGCGCATGCAGTGGAGCACTGGCTTTGTCTACCAGTATGGGTGGAGTACAGGGAAATGGGCTACACTTCCTTCATGCAGTCCTTATTAACAGCTACCCTATTAAAGGCAACAACCTTTGGGGTGTAAGGACATTTCCACAGAGAGCTTTAATTTCTCACTTCAACATTCAATTTTTAAAAGGTTCTCCTTTGAACGATGGAAGAAATCTGGTTCTTGGAGATTCACGGTGATGACAGGTAGCAGCCTGAGGTTGGCGTGAATGGAACCACCTGGTTTATATTTAAAAAATCGAAGGCCTGATGGCTGGAGGTGCATATAAAAATCAGACATGAACATCACTAGACAACATTGGCACAGTCATACACTGTCGAAGTTAAAAAAATGGAGAAACGACAATGATCAGAAAATGAAGGGACAGAGATGGAGAGAGAAAGAAAACAGGAGTGGATCCAAAACGAAGAGTGAAGGAGAAAGAATTATTATCTCCACGCATGCGCTAAATTCCCCTTTAACGTAAGCGCTCTGCGCGCCTTTTACGCCTATTATTACGCGTGCCCCTGGGAAATTAGGGTCATAGACAGATAGGGTGTGGTTGGAGTGTCAAAGATGGCTACGAACGAGAGTCCAGAGGTTTTGACCCTTCAAAGCCACTTTCTTGATCTTCAGGGAGCAGTTATCAGAGAAAAAGTTCCAGGGGCGCTATTTCAATACCGTTTGCTTACTTCAGACGGCTTTAGCCACGCCACGAACGAAGCTGTGCGTTCGAACAAGCGGGGTCAGGACACAGTTATTGAAATTATCGACACAGTTCGCATGCGTCCAGATCTGTTTCAGAAAGTTTGCGATGCTTTGAAAGTCGAAGGTGACGCAACCGAAGGGATCATTCATAAGATTCAAGGTAGGTCGTTGCTACTAAGGCGACTAGCTACTAACGTTTTAATTACCCCTTTTAGGTACGTTTAAACATCTCAAGGAGAGTCACTCTGGTAGGTGAAATGCTAGCTATGTATACATATGAACGCTCACCTATGTATGTTATGAATGTATGGTAATAGAGTCCCATGAAACAATGGAGTTTCAGAAGCTGAAAGATCAGTTGGAAGTGTTTCAATCAACCCAACAAGGAACTAGTGATATAAGTATCCAGCAGCAAACAATGAATTGCTCGCAGCATCTCATTCAGCAATACATTGAGAATGGGCTGGATTCTGGGATTGAGGCAAGCAATATCATAAGTGATATGGAAAAGCTTTGTCGTGTTTATCTTGTTATACCACAACATTTGTCTCGTTGGGCCATGGACGAAGTGGACAAAATCTCCAAAACATTTACAGAGGAGCTTGGAAAAGTTGCTAACCCAGTGCATTTTGACAGGCACCAAGTGCCATTGCTGTTTTCAAAGGACACTCTTTATCATGCAAGCCTTTGTTGTGAGGCTATAAATAGTTTCGTACCCGTAAATCCGCTGTCATTTTTCCGAAACAAGAAACCACAACACAGTCTGACTGAAGTGTCATTTTCCAAGAGCAGGGATGGAATCATGCCATACCTGATTGCAAGACAGAAAGATGTCCTGTACGTTGCTTTTCAGGGAACCTGTGAGATATCTCAGTGGATTAAAAGTGGCTCTTCATTTGATGAAGGTGAATAAGTGGGATATTGGCAAAAATTGCATGCACATGCATGTCATTAAGTCGCACGGACTCCAATCTAACACTGTCATGTTTAACACTTGACTATTGTGTGTGCGCGTACCTGACTGTCTTCAATGCACCAACACTGACAAGAGTTGTCTCTTTTTCTAGCAGCAATAACCTAGACCAACTGCTTTTATAAAAATATTCTTACTCCTTTTAATCTCGGTATGGCATCAATACAAGTCTGGTAGCATCAGGGGTATGGCTAGAGCTGCGCTATCATTGAGTTTAGGGAGAGCGAGTCGGGAAGTTTGTCCCTGTAGCTACACTTCATCCTATTTTCCACATTGTGGGAGATAACAGCCTTCAACCTAGGGAGGGTAGTGTGTACATAAAAGGTTGTAACCACCACAATGCTCTAGTCATAGACTGTGTATTTGCTCATGTATGAATTTGGCGGGTAGAAGCAAGTCGTGAACAAGCAATGTACTTTTTGTGAGTAAACAAAAGCGTGACATTTACAACCCCATTGAATGAGAAAATTAGCATCATCCGAATGATGCAATATAAATGCACAGTGAAGCAATATCTTTACACTAGACAGCGTTTAAATGGAGAAAACAATAGCGTGGTCCTTCTCGCTACTGATGCCACCACTTACAAAACTCTGCAAGCCTGTGTGCTTGTGCAAGCACACTTTCCTGCCAGCAGACAGGATCGCGATAAAAAAACACAAAATGGTTCGTAAAATTGTCAATTCAAAAAGTCATGCACCAGACAACATTTTGCAAAGCATAAGTGATTTTTAAATGCTAAACATGCCACTGTTGCATTTTACTTTTACAACAGGTTTAAGAGAAGAATGTAGCAAAATTCCCCTTCGGTTTTTTATGGATGAGCTACTCAGCAATAAAAGAATTGTACTCACAGGTACTGTAATTACAAGTATGTGAGTGCGTGGATAGCTGTAATCACCAAGTGCGTGCATTTATTAACCCTCGGCGCGTATGCGCAGCAAGGGATACAGTAGTTGGTTTGTCTGTCTTTTTGTCTGTCTTTTTGTCTGTGTGTCTGTGTGTCGACGCTTGTTCTGGCACTACAGGCTACGAGGCGGCCTATTAGCGATACCAGCGGCTTCAGAAGTACGCGGGCCTGAAAATAAAAGGGCGATTTTCCTGAAACGACAGCGTTGGAGACATATGCCGTGAAAACAAGCGAAAAAGCCAATATGCATAATCGCACTGGGCTTACCTCGACCGGGTCCGCTTGCTTTGTGTATCTTGAAGGCACAAGAAGTCACAACGAAGGTTGTGTATCGACTCCCGTATGCTATCTACTGATGTAGCTAGCCCGTGTCGCGGGCTACTAGTGTGGAGAGCGCGAGTAAACGCATACTAATAGCCCAGCCCATCAATTAGCAGTATCGCGCATGCGCAGTTCGGCGAGGGTTTGCACTTTAGTCTTTTCATTAAAAAATTAACGTGTTGTGCTCAGAGCCCAATTGACTCTTAATTTTTCTTTTGTTAGGATTTTCTTTTGGTGGTATGCTGGCGCTCTGCATCAGTGCTAAGCTGTGGCACAGTACAATGGCAGACCAACAAGCTCTCACAGAGCGCATTATCTGCATCACGTTTGGCCAACCCCTTGTTAAGTTGAAAATGGTTGAAGATGAAATAAGTGTTTCTGGAGAGTTCGAGAAGTCAATTCACTCTGTATTTAGCAAGGATGATTTTGTACCAGCAATGTTCAGCTACATGCCTATTGATAATAGAGAGCCAGAGCCTAATGTGTCTCCTCTCCTTCATCCCAAAATGAAAGCCCTTGCTGCTCCTAAGGATACAATGTCCCAAGGCAACCCACGGAATACCTCTGAACAAGTATGTTAAAGCTTAAAGGTGTAAAATGTTTTCAGTCTCTTATATATATATATATCCAATTTTAGGTTCTTTTTTCTAATCCATTTGTGAAAACATTTCTTCAAAACCTCTCAATAATTCAAGAGAAATGTCAACAGTTACAGGTTTGCATAAATTAATATTTGTGTTTTTGTGGGTCAGTGTGTAAGTAACCAGAACCAGTTTTGCGACACCACGGGTCAAAACTCATGTGATTCGCATGTAAAACGTCTCTAAACCAGGCGACAGTGCCAAGCTACGCCTTCAAAACACACCGGCAACATCTCATGACGCATAGGTCCAAGGGCTCGTAGCTTGTAGCTACCTTCAGTTCTGCCCATGAGAATCTACTCATATATTATGATTTCATGTTTGTCATGTTGCCATTCTTCTTACTTTAGTCAACCCGCTCTCCTTAATGCCATCTCCTTACTCGAACCCAGTTGACACGATCATATCTGCAGTTCCAACTGTAGCTATCACTTCCTTGTCGTTGGTGAGCATATTTTTAGATGAACTAGCCTGTGCAATTAGTGGGGTCTGCTATTGTTTTTTAATGCCATCTGCTCTGATTATCACCACCGTGTGCATATATTGTAGACACCAAACCTAACGAAAACATTGAAGTAAAAGCAAACGGAACACGTGCTTGTCTTGAAACACACATGTGAGGAAAGCACCTTTTAGTAATGGGCCGGGCCATCAGGCACCAGGAGAAGCGAGCATCTTGCGATCGAAGTCCCCCTTGGTCACAGCTAATTATATTACAAAGTTGTGTGGAGTTTTGCGCTTGAGAAGAACCACTTTGCGTCTTTTTCCTATGTTGTTTGCATTCTGGTGTGTGAGTGAGGATTATAGTAAATAAGTGCTGTACTAATAGTGATAGGAAATCATACATTCTCAGCCGTGATATACCTAGAACATACATATCAGAGTTATCTCCGATCTATGGTGATCAAAAGAATGAGGTTGATATCAAGTTACTGACTATCATATGACAATGATGTCCGCCGAAAAAGGTCCTCCAGAATATCGGTAAAGCTGATTATTTGCTTAAGATTGGGAGTTACGAACTGAAACTGGATACGCACAGTCTTAGTTTACGGGTGCATCTTTGAGTGCAGAACAAATTTATTGGGCGAGCGGAGCGAGCCCACCTAGTCGTGTCTTTGGCTCGAATTTTCTAAATATATACGACGCACCGTACGTCGGCTTAGTGCGCATACGTTAATATTACGCGCTTCTTATTATACGAGATACTGTGCGGAATTTTTTCTCCATCATCTTACAGTCCGTCCAGTTGGCTTAGAAGGAGATGGATTCATCCGCGGAGGATAGTGTTCTTCATCGAAGAAAAACAGACGGAGAATTGTGTCTTTGGCTCGAATTTTCTATCTATGTATGCCCGGCCGTCGAAAGTCCTCACGACAGAGAGGCTCGTGTTTTTCAGGGACCATTACGAGATCTTGAGCGGGCAAGGTAACGATACTGCTTCTGTTCCAAGAGGAAGACAGACAGAACGCCCGGCTGTCGAAAGTCGATTAAGAGATGGAGAGGGCACGTTACCTTTCCGTTGCTACTTTCTGCTGGTCTAGTTTCACTAACTACGTATGCGCAAGCTGCCTAATATTATGTCAACACCATAATAACTTCTGTTACTTGCTGAAACATTTTACCTGTAGGTACGTAGCTATAGTAATGATGATGGTTGTATATAATTGAGTTCTCGCTCCGCTCGCCCAAAGAATGCCAAGCATTTCCACTAGTAATTATACTGTCACATTCCCTTTAATTTACAGGTCTTCTTGGGCTTTAGGCTTATTACACTCGGCGCGCATGCACAGCGAGGGTACGGTAGTTGGGTCTGTGTGTCTGTGTGTCTGTCTGTTACTCTACATCTCACTTCTCGAGTGTTTATTCGTCTCACAAAGGATATGACCTACTAACGGGCAATGAAGGTTAGAAATTTCTAACGGTTTTCTCTGAAACTGCTCCGTTGCAAAGCTAAAGCCAATATGCAAATACACAACGGACGGGATGGCTACCACGGTCTGACCGATCCGCATGCTCTGCGTACCTCGGAGGCACCACAAGATGCAATGCAGAACGTGTATCACCTCTCGCATGCTATCTAGTAGTGTAGTTAGCCTGCGTCAGACTCTGCGCGAGCTGGCAAGAGACCACGAGTAACAGCTAAATCTAAACCCAGCCCATCAATTAGTGGTACGGCACATGCGTTTACTTATGCGTGCGCGTCACAGTGTGCCAAGGGTTTGCACTTCAGTGCTTTTCATTCTCCAAGATTTTAACACACTATTGGTCCATTTTTGTGATCTTGCACTGTTGCAAAGAGGGGAAATACCGAGCTTGTCATCGCAATTCAGTCGGTTTATGGAATCTAAGTGATAATCTTTCCGTATATACGCCTAACTGTCAGGATCACCGCATTCTGTTACTCCCTTTTTAGCAACTATGAAGTCAAAAGTCAATGTGACATTTGCACAAGTTAATGACGTCAGATTCAAATGTGATGAGTGATAGGGCGCATCCGTTTCTGCCACCTTTGCAGCATAACCACTTATAAAAATAGTTTGCTTGACCAGTTTTCTGATAAGGAAGCGGCCTTTGTTCGCACATGATTTGATATCAACCTGACCATTTTTATCAGCAAAGATATGTATCTTGTGTGCAAAGCATGTATTATGGATTACTTATGACCTGAATGGCAAAAAATTAAAGCTCCAGGTTCTATGTACACAGCCTTTTATCTTTTCTGTGTGTGTGTGGCTGCTATTCTGGCACTACAGGCTATTAGGTGGCAAGGAGTGTTCCAATGGCGTCGAGCATGCATGCAGGGAAGTTGTTCTTGCAAAGCCGCATATTGCGGGCGGCGAGTTAGGATACATTTCGGGTGGCGTAGCTAACATGCGTTTTCTTGTTTGGTTACTCAGCGGCCCATAAGGTTTGTACTATGCGGGTTTTTCAGTGTCTCTGTTTACCCAACTCCATCTAAAGCTAGCTTTGTCAGAAACTGGTGAACAAGTTGAATCAGTTCACCCTGCACGAAGGTCAGAAAGTATGTGGGGTTTTCTCTGAAAATGCTCCGTTGCAGAGCTAGAGCGCGAAAAAGCCAATATGCAAAATACGCAACGGACGGGATAGCTTACCCCGGTCTGAACGATCCGCGTGCTCTGCATACCTCGGAGGCACCAGAAGATGCAACGCAGGACGTGTATCGCCTCTCGCATGCTATCTAGTAGTGTAGTTAGTCCGCGTCAGATTCTGCGCAAGCTGGCAAGAGACCACGAGTAACAGCTAAAACTAAACCCAGCCCATCAATTAGTTGTACGGCACATGCGTTTACTTACGCGTGCGTGTCACAATGTGCCGAGAGTTTGCACTTCAGTGCTTTTCATTTTCAACATGAAAAGCACTCTAAAGTGCAAACCTTCGGCGAACTGCGCATGCGCGGTACCACTAATTGATGGGCCTGTCTTTTAATGCCTTTACTCGTGGTCTCCCGCTTACACGGGCTAGCTGCAGTAGTAGATAGCATGCGGGAGCCGATACACGTCCTTCGTTGTGACTTCTTGTGCCTTCAAGATACACAGAGCGAGCGGATGCGGTCGTGTCCTAATTTGAATATTGGCTTGTTCACTTGCTTTTCACGCCATTGTCCCGTCGCATGTAGTCGCAGAAAACGTGGTAACAGACAGACAGACACACTTACATACCAAGTACAGTCACCCTCGCTGCGCATGCACGCCAAGTGTTAATCAGTTACCAAGCAAATGCCATCTGGTCAGAGCTCTTAATAAAAAGCACTAACATGCAAACCCTCTGCATGCGGTACCGCTAATTGATGGGCTTGGTTATTAGTATGCATTTACTTGTACTCTCCAGCTTGTAGCTCGCGGAGAGTCTGACATGGGCTAGCTACAGCAGGGGTGCAAACTAACATTTTCCCCAACTGGCCAATAGGGCTAGTAGGCTCTCAATTCTACTTGCCCAACAGCTTTCTCACCAGCCCAAATATTTATTGAAATATTTGCACAGAATCAAGTTTAGTTGGAGGTTCCTTTACTACCTCCACATGGTTGTCAACACAGTATATACAAAGCACACCGCGTGCACTTGTGTAAACTACATAGTGCGCATGCGCGAAGATCAAACCCCGCCCCCATGCATCGCGTAATCGATCGCCAGTTCGCGGCGGCGAAGACACTGGCGCTGGCTCACGTCTACTACCGAATTAAGCCACGCTATTACAACACTTCGCTTTTATAACTCCACTAAGTCTGTCTAGTGTCTCTCTCGCCAGCCGGGCGACCGCTTTAGGCGTTAGCACCCGTCCGCGCCGTAATTTACCCGCCACAGGCGGGCGGGCGAGTGCTAGTTTGAAGCCCTGCTACAGTAGTAGATAGCATGCAGGAGTCGATACATGCCCTTCGTTGTGACTTGTTCTGCCTTCAAGATACACAGAGCAAGCGGACCCAGTCGAGGTAAGCCTGTGCTAATTAGCAATTGGCTTGTTGACTTGGTTTTCACGCCATAACTTTAGAACGCTGTATATACTTTTACGAAAATCGCCATTTAAAAAATGAAGCCAGTGTAGCACTGCACCCGTTGGTGTTGCTTTTTGGCCGATTTGTTGCACGTGGTGGAAGAAAACGTGGTAATAGACAGACACACCGAAACACAGCCCAAGTACAGTAACCCTCGCTGCGCATGCGCACCGAGGGTAAACAAGTGAAAAACCATATCTTCAAAATGAAAGGAGATGTAGGGATGGCTCAAAACATGAAGAAACAAGGGATCATCGCACAGCTAGGACGCACAAAGCTAAATGACACCATCCCTATTCCTTGACAAATAGGCAAATGCGACCAGACAAAGATATAGGCATGGTGCCATATAGCTTTGTGTGTCTTAGCTGTGTAATTACCCCTTGTTTCTTTCTCTTTGGTGCTTCGAGCCATCCTTATATCCCCTTCATTTTGAAACGATTTTTCCACTTGTTTTCATTACTTTTATGAACAGCTCTGACAAATTAGTTCATGCATGCTAATGTACACATATTGAAGGAGCCGTTCATGCATGCTACTGTACACATACTGAAGGAGCCGTTCATGCATGCTATTGTACACATACTGAAGGAGCCATTCCTGCCTGCTACTGTACACATACTGAAGGAGCCTTTCATGCATGAAAAAACATGTTTATCTGAAAGAATAATATGAGAGGAAAAGAAAGAACCCTTAAACCCCCCACCCAAGCACACAAAACACAAACGATAACATATCCAAGCACACAAAACACAGACAATAACATATAAACAGAGGCAGGACCCTGGGTGCCCAGCCTTGAGAACCCGGGCCGTAGGTTAAAGGGATCAAGTGTAGAGAAAGATCCAGCGCGCAACGTCGTACTGCGGGTTGGCAGCATCCTCTCCCTTTCACGCGCTCTGGGAGCTGACGCTGATCAGCAGATCGCTTGGTTCCAGACCTGATTGAACTGGCCATCTTGCTACCACATGTTCATGGCCTGTTGTTTCGAGAAATGAAGCCATTCTTAGGGCCTTGATTTGGAACCAAGCTATCTGCATCAGCTACCAGAGCGCGTGAAAGGGAGTGGATGCTGCCAACCCGCCGTAAAGTGTCTATTCTGATGCCGCTCGGCTTACCATTGGACGTTATACCAAAAAAATAGCCTGTGGATTTGCAACAGTTAGTAGCCCCTAGCAATGTTTTAGGGGGTGTGGCCTATGGCACGTGACATATGCTTGCGCGGCCACTTGTGCGGCTTCCGGAAGTCGTTGCACGCTGGGTCCGTTCTCTGCACTTGATCTGCCTCAAAGTATTAATAAAGAAAAAGATAAAAACTCTGCAACTTACGCAGTACGACGATGCAACGGAGATACAAAAACATGCGATTACTCTAAATAACGCACAGCATATACACGTGTAAGAAAAATATATAGATTTTCCAAAATAAATATGTCACTAAAAATGTACATTCTATCTATGTGAGACATGGCGACTGAGGAACCTATCCCATTGCTGGCAGACATATACCATCCTCCACATGTTTGCGTATGCAGCAGCCACGTATATTTATTCATTATTTGTGCATTCCTTTTTAGCAAACTTATAAAAGGACCTGCACAAGTCAGAATATCTGTATCCTTGATGAATCAGTCGCTCCGTTAGTTTGAAATGTCTCAACGTAAAATCCGAGTAATCACTACATATTCTACCTATACGTACTAATTGGGAAATATAGACTCCATGTGCTGGTCCAGATGGAATATAGGGACTTAGATATGGAAAATTTACAATTTTGAAGTTAAAAATCATTCCCGTTTATCATAATTGGCGAGCGGGAGCGAGCCAACCTAGTTGTTCGTTGGAGCAGATTTTTTCGATATTATATGTCCGTCCGTCAACGTCGTACGTCGTGTAAGTGCGCATGCGCGGCTTTGTACGCGCTTCTTTTTATCCGAAATTATTTCCAATTTGCACATTTTCACACACGGTGCCTCGTGATATGCGCTCTAGCCAGCTAGAGAACTCTCCTCCATTCGACGGCATGCGCTGCAACCTTCGGTGACTGACCGAGGCTGTATATACCTCTTCCCAATCTTCATGGTTCCAAGCTGCAAATACGCTAGGATTGCTCGTGCACATACTGCTGCCTGGTGGACCAGCTAGACACACGCCGCGTTGTCGAGCAGCCCGATCGATCGCTGCCTAGCCTACTGCCATGCCAGCTGCCTGGTGGACCACGACAGACGAGCTGAAAGCGTAAGGTAGGGACCGTTCTGCTCAATACAGTACGCATGTAACGGCGACAGGTAGATCTGTCTTGCTTCACGAAAGGAAAGCTGTGCGCTGGCGGCACGTTATGCAGCCCGAACATCGCGGACAAAGTTGGGTCGTTCCCGCTCGCCAACAATGTTCAACGTTCTTCTAGTTATACTGCCGTGGAATATTTTCCATTTGTAGTTGTATGTATATCTAAGTATGACAGTGTTGTTGGTGATTCAGATGTTTTTTCAGTTTAAGCTCCTCTGGGTATATGTCATCAATGGCTGAATCAAACGGTGTGTTATTCAATGTCAGCAAATCATCAATATACCTCTTTGTGGTACTGAATCTTTTTGCCAGCATCAAATTTGTTTTTATCATATTCTTCATATACCTATATTATTCATAATAAAACAGAAACAAATTTGGAATCCCTATAACCTGTCTATATATTCTATTACCTATACTAACATAAATATTATCTATCAATATTCCCCATATGTGACTAGCATCTCTTCAGTAATATTCTGTTTCGATGAGGAGTTCGATGGTGCATTAGACCAGTACGCATATCCAGTACTATCTGCTATAATGAACTCACTGTCTCTCACCATGTATGCTTCCTGAAATAGAGTCTCTTTGAGTGCTACATGTGGAATGCTTGTGTACAATGTAGAGAAGTCGTAACTATAAAAATGCCTGGCCGTAAAGTTGAAAGCACCTGTCAAAAACAATTTACTAACAGTCCTACAAAAAATGACGTTACAATATTGTTTATAATGGTTGGTAATTAGTTTAAGGCAGCTAGTAAGCAGTTTAGATAAAGGTTTTGTAGTGCACCTGTGAGATGCAGCTATGAACCAAGTACCGTAAGGCCGTTTATGAAGCTTTGGAAGCCAATAGAACAAAGGCAAGCTTCTATATTCAGGTCGTGCATCAATGCAGTGGTTATTCACAAATTTAATGTGTCTATCAACACTGCCTCCATAACATGCTCATACGTGATAGTTGTGTCGATTTCTTTTAATACAGTTTCCAAATAATACTTCTTACAAACTATAATGAAAAGCACTGAAGTGCAAACCCTCGGCGCATTGTGACGCGCACGCGTCAGTAAACGCATGCGCTGTATCACTAATTGATGGGCTGGGTTTAGTTCTGGCTGGTCTCTAGCCAACTCGCGCAGAGTCTGACGTGGGCTAACTACACTACTAGACAGCATGCGAGAGGCGATACACGCCCTGCGTTGCATCTTCTGGTGCCTCCGAGCACGCGGATCGATCAGACCGCGGTAAGCCATCCCGTCCGTTGCATATTTGCATATTGGCTTTTTCGTGCTCTAGCTTTGCAACGGAGCATTTTCAGGGAAAACCACACACATTTTCTGACCTTCGTCGCCCGTTGGGTAGATGGTATCGTTTCTGGGACGAACAGACGTTCGAGGAGTGAGATGTAGAATAACAGACAGACAGACAGACCCAACTACTGTACCCTCGCTGCGCATGCGCGCCGAGGGTAATCACATTTTGTGCTGCCTTATCAGCCAGTACTAACACGTACCTATTATGAAGCTCCTCTAGAGGCCTTGAATGCACTCTATTCTTCAGGATAAGCATTTTTCTTCTATTTATATGCTTTCTCTTCAGCGAGGCAATTCTTTTCTGAACACATTCATTTTCTCTACGCGACCATTTACGCTTATACTTGGTTACTGCCTCCTTACGTAATTTTTCAGTAATGCCCCAATCAATATAGTTTTGTTCTATGTACGATGGTCCTTTCTCTATTAAGCTTCGAAGCTTTGCATCCTTCACGATATTCAGGTCGCCAGTAATGACATGTCCAACAGGTGTGTACTCGTATTACAATCACAACACATATCTCTAGTACCTATATCAACATCTAGCCCCTCAACTACCTTCTTGTGATTGAAAATCTTTCCAGCAATAGTTTTAGTGTATTTAAAGCTCATTGTATATACACATACTGAATGAGCCATCCTGGCTACAAGACTAGAGGAACATACGTGACATCAACATTAGTGCATTTTGTATGGATTATTTTTGTCCACATTCCAAGGCGTGTAGCTACGCGTAAAATCCATGAACACACATCAATGCTACATATACAAGTGGAAAAATCTTTTTTTTAAATGGAGGGAGACATAGGGATGGCTCAAAGCGTGAAAAAGTAAGAAACAAGGGGTCATGACACTACATTACACCATCCATATATATATTTTCAATAGGACAAACATATAGGGATGGTGCCATGTACGTAGCTTGACCCCTTGTTTCTTACTTCTTCATGTTTTGAGCCATCCCTATATCTCCCTTTATTTCTGATTTTCCACTTGTTTCCATTATTTTTATGCGCAGAGGCTCAAAATTATTGTATAGCTACTAGACATGCATTGTGCCTAGCAATGCATACATATAGCTCTCATGAGTTTCTCCCCAAGTTATATTAGTTGTCCATTCAAATTTTTCTGTTTTACAGGTGAAACCAAAGGTGGGAGATGCAGTAGAGTGGCTTGATAAAGCTATGTTGCAGCTTAAAGAGCCAACGTCTCCAACTCTGTATGGGAATTGCTATGTCATGTCTCGAGAGAAAAAGCAAGGGATTGTGTGGCATTCCCAAACCAAGGAACTGGCTGCCATTGCATTAAGAGAACATTTGTTAACTAAGCAGCTTTTTGAAAAGGTACACTAGTTTTATAATTATCCTGTTCCATTAATTATAGCCAGCATTACAGAAACTCCTTTCCCTTTTTTATAGCATACTATGGATCACTACATCCCCTTGATACTTCGAAGTCACCTGGAGAAACCAGTCAAATACATAATACCTAATCAATTGCAGTCTACAAAAGAAGTTTCCGAAGTAGATGCTCTGAAGCCTAAAATAACCGAGCAGTTGACATACTATGATTATCCAAACGAAAGGGTCATAATCTTGGAGGGAGAAAACCTGTGGTTCTCATATAAAGTCTATCTGGATGAAAAGGGGCCACATGAATGTGAATTTAAAACACATGCAGAGAATACTACACAGTACCTGATTGAGTTTAGGGCAGACCTGGAAGAAAGTTCAAACCTCAGCTTAAGCAAACAAGTGAAGTTGGCTCTTTACACTCACTTTGCAAGTCCAATAAGGCAGACCTTGAACATAAAAATGGTATGTACATTACTTAACTTGTGTAATTAACAATAAGCCGGTTTCCAAGATTTTGGGCATTTAAGTTAACATTACCTTTTTCAGATGTAGTTCAGACCAGCTGTTTTTACACTGGGATATAATATGTATGTGCATAAGCTGCACACATTATCTGCCACCATATACTATTTAATGTTAAAGCACGACTGACTGGAGTACACAATTTGTATATAAACTTTACTGCTTGTGTGTAATTGTTGTGAACGGGCGGTACATGCTGCCACAGTGATTCCTACTGATGTGGTGGATCAGTTTAAGAATTCAAATACGGCTGTTTCCATGCGGTCATTTAGTATGTGCGTTCTCTTAGCAATGCATAGTGAAAGATTGGGTCATTTTAGTTGACTCCTTCCAGTACCTTCCAGAAATGCTAGGAGACTTCTCTTATGGGCTCATTGTACTTACCCAAAGTGTATGTGCACCAAATTTAAAGTGCGCCTGTGTCTCTTTCATCCAGGAAACTACAGACGCAATGAAAAAGCACTAAAGTGCAAACCCTCGGCGAACTGTGCATGCGTGATACCGCTAATTGATGGGCTGGGCTATTAGTGTGCGTTTACTCGTGGTCTCCACGCTAGTAGCTCGCGGAGAGTCCGACCCAGGCTATAGCTACAGCAGTAGATACCATGCAAGAGTCGATACACGACCTTCTTTGTGACTTCTTGTGCCTTCAAGATACACAGAGAGAGCACCACACAGTAGCAACAGTTTTTACCTTTAAGACCCCTGATTCCAGCCCTCTTCATCCTTCCAAATGCCTGCTCACATGATGGACTTAAAAAGATGCCAGACATGACCACAGACACTAAGGCTCTCACATTCACCTATAGTTGGATTTACATTTTGGGCACCACCACCGCTTTCCAGGAAAAAAATTTTGCAGAGAGAGACAATTAGCTGATGCTAAAGGCTAGACTTCAAGCTATAGCTATCCACCACTTGGTTTAAAATCCTCCTGAAATGAGCTGAGCAAACAGAAAGAGATTGCTGCTTGTTCATCAACCCTCGGCATGCATGTGCAGCGAGGGTTACTGTAGTTGTTGTGTGTGTCTGTCTGTCTGTCTGTCCGTTACCCGACATCTCACTTCACGAGCCATGAATCGCTCCACAAACGATATCACGTATTCAGCATCGGGGTAGAGGTCGAAAAACATGTAGGGTTTTCTCTGAAACTGTTGCGTTCGAGAGATTTATGGCGTGAAACACGAGTGAAAAAGCCAATATGCTAATTAGAACAGGCTTACCCGAGCGGGTTCGCTCTCTCTGTGTATCTTGAGGGCACAAGAAGTCACAACGAAGGTAGTTTATCGACTCTCGCATGGTATCTACTAATGACAACCTACACCGACCAGATGGTCTTTATGTAAACATGACAGTGATACAATTATACAATTAAGGTAGTAAACAGTGTTTACTCTTGTGAGGGCAGTTGGGGCCATTTTAGTCATATGTTATTTGTAGGTCCCTGTGATTATTGTTACAGTACAGTACCTGTTTGTCCTTGCTGACCTAAGCTGGTACTTCGATGATGAATGAAGGAGGCAGAGGGTCTGCACCAGACACTCAGAGACAAAAGATGCTGAGGAATCATATAGTTGAGAAAGGCTTAAGCTATCACTGTAGAGCCGTCAGGCTCATCAACAAGTACACAACAAATCATCAGCAGAGTGATGGACGACAGACCTGCCGCAGTGTGAGAGGATACGGACTTGGAGGTATGATTGGTTGACACAAGAGTAGAAGGTGTTCAGTCTCAACATGGAGTAGGGTGTGGTTTGACTTCTGACACTTTCTGCTCTGATGCAAGGACTCGCATTGTTTGACAAAGTGTCAAGACTTCAGACAGTTCATGCAGTGTGAATATTATCTTGTCATGGGAGGGGTGTTTAAAATGGGGCATTGTCGTTCTTGCATAGGACTCAGTTGAGACTTGTTAGTAGCATTCGCAGTAAAGGCAGCAAAAGATTTGGTAGAATTGGCTTCATACCACTTTGACCAGATTTAGGTGTTTTGGATGCTTTGCAAGGAGGCTGATCCAGAAGCCTCTGGTAATGCAATACATCGGTAGAGTTTTAGCTATGCTTCTGCCATTCAAACATAGTATTGACATCCAGTTTCAGCTCGAGAACTGATGTGATGAAGGGACCAGATGGTTTGTAATCCAGTGCTCGGAGATGCTGTTGTACGACATCATGTAGGCGACGTAGTTCCTTGCTACTACTGTCCTTCAGAGGAAGTGCCTCCAGAATCATACCAATAATGGTCTGATAAATTATGCTAGGGTGGTCATAGCTGGACTTTAGACACTCAACAGTGGTATTCTCCAGGCTGTGAAAGTGCTTCAGTGGCACTCTTGGTGGACCAATTCTTGAGTGATAGGTAAACAAGCTTGCAGAATTGCTCCCATTGGAAATATTGCCATTAATTTTTAAGTAGTTTCACTCCCTTACTGTTCACTCTCTTACTGTTGGTGGATATAAAGTAGAGATCAGTGGTGAAGTCGTCATTGGTGTGTTTGCTCTCTCACATCCAGGTAAACAAGGGTGTGGTGATGTGTCTTGAACCCTGAATCCAGTGCATCAAGCTTGCATGCCATTCCCTCAGCAAGCTCCAGTGTTGCGGGTTTGTCCATGTTGCTTTCAAGATCTTTAAGTCGACTTGTGATGAAGGCACTGACAATGCCTCTCAACTTTTAAATGGTGGATGCGTTGTGTATAGTCGACGGGCGGCTCAAGCTGGCTAAGAGACTAAATTGCTGTTCCAGTAGAGCTATGATTATAACCAAGACTTTCCAGAAAGAACAACCCAAGAGTCGGTGGTTCAACTCGAAGGACCATTAATGTTTGAGGTCTTTCTCGATGGAGATGGATTAAACGAGCGCTACTCGCAACCTGAGCTGAGAGCCATTTCTGAAACTTTTCTCAATTTTATGCAAAATAACATGCCTTTTAAGGGTTATCATTACACACTCATGAATATTATGTAAGCCACAAACGAAGTAATATTACGTAATCCAGAGAGCTTATGTAACACTACTGAGTGTGTATAGTGCGATAACCTTAATGAGGCATAGTTCTTACTAACTTTATCCTGGAAACGGATAATCACTATGGCAAAACTATGAGGTCAAATGCCAGGTCAAAAGGCTTGCCATAAGGACGTGAGAGGAAGGCTTCTGCCACATATAAACAAGAACGCTATGCCTGTCCCCTGGGACACACTCCAGACCACTCTTGCCATATGGTTGTACTTTGGCAGCAGCACCTCCTGACCCTGCAATTTCCAAGATCGACGTTGAGGGGAGAGGTGTAGTGGTAACTATACGTAGTTCACAAGTCGGTTTGTTTTTGTATTCCCTAGTTCTTTCAGTGATGGGTGGCCTTCTTCAGGGGATGACTGGTAACACAAGAGTTAATCTTTAAAGACGAAAGGCGGTGCTTTGCTGGATAAACAATCTGTTGTTTTGTGGTACGGGCGGCAAGCGCCCTAAGGCTTCGTCACATATGTTGCATGTGCGGGCATCCTATAGGTATGAGGGCTGTGTGATGCCACGTGCACCACGGATGCTTGTAGGGTGAGGGAGTTAAGGGAAGATCTGTCGTTCGGTGAGGGTTGCCATGCTTTTGGTGCCCATCTCTATATAAGGAATTTTTGGCAAAGAGCACTAGAAGCGGCTTAGCCCATGAAACCACTATGCTGTGCAGGGTTCTAGCTAAAGCGTCATTAAGGGGCACTCCGCCCCGTTTCATTTTCGTAGCACCCTGTTACCGCCCTGCTTAATTTTACAGCCATAATACACACACTGTAGTATACCTGAGTAAGCTGCGCTGTTTTTAGTACAGCAGTATGCGTGTAGCAGCACGGGGAGTGCATGTGCACCCCACGAGCTAGCTAGCTAGCTAGCTAGCTAAGCGCACGCTATATGCATGGCAGGCACGTGCACTATGTACTACTATACTTACCCGTACTAAAGTGGTGCAGCCTACGTAGTCGCCACGAGGGGTAGGAGCAAGAATATGGCCGAGCAGCGTCGAATCACTTGTTTCTTCATGTCGTCCTCAGAGGCATCGTCGAGCGCAAGTGTCAATGTGTCAAAAACTGACAGTCTTCTGGAGCCAGAGCAGCTGCAGAAGAGACCGCATTTGGCTGTTGACCACCGCCGTCGCAGTGGCTTCGATCACTCGTGGAGAAAGAAGCAAATGTGGCTCACGTACAATGAGGAGAGTGGTATGCTTTGTTCTGAGTACAACATGATGCCAAGAAACGGAACTGGAAAGTGGGTCACCGTGGGCTGCACCGCTTTTCGGCACGACAAGGTGCTTGCACGCGAAAATTCAGCGATGCACAAAGAAGCAGAGAGGGCTAAGGTTGACCAGGCTCGAGCTGCTGTAAGTGGCGGTACTCGTGCCGCTTTGGAAGATACCATTAGCCATGAGAGAAGGGTGGTAATAGGTGATTTGTTTTCTAGCATAGAGTGAACTCCCACATACCACAAACGTCTCTGGTCTATTGGACCTGGCTATCAGCTTAGGGTGTGACTACCTCCGAAACCTTCGGCAAGGAAGTAACGCATCATATCGATCTGATCAAATCATTGCTGAATTCCTCCAAAGCCTATATGACTGTGTCAATGAACGTGTTTTGGAGCAAATGCATCAAAGTGATAGCATTAGTTTGATCAAAGATCTTGCAGATGGTACAGCAACCTCAATAGAAAAAGCTACTCTGGACCTCTTACACACAGCAATCTTTGACATAGGTGATGTGTCAAGCTTTGGTAGTGATGGTGCGAGTGTCATGACTGGTAGGAAGAATGGTGTTGCTGGTCGTCTACAAAGATTGAACTGTAACCTAATCTCTATACACTGTATTGCACACCGTCTAGCTTTGGCCACAAGTCAGGCATCTGAATCTATCCCATACCTTCGTCGATTTAAAGCGATTCTTAGTAGCCTCTTTTACTTTTATCATAATTCTCCTGTGTGACAGGCTGGACTGTCAGCCATTCAGAATTTTCTTGGTGATCCAACCCTGCGCCTTAAGCAAGCCAAGGATGTATGGTGGTTGAGTCACCATGCAGCAGTCGAAGCTTTGCGCTGTTCCCTAGTATCTGTACTCCACAGCCTACATATATCGTGAAGCATCTGAGCGAAGTGAACCTACTGCTACTGGCTTACTCCGATTCATTCGAACGTACTACTTTGTAGCTTCACTATACCTTTTTGCTTATGTGCTGCCTCACCTTTCTAAACTTTCTCAAACTATGCAGAACAGTAGCTTTTACTCCAGCCTGTTATTGAAAGCTGCATTCACAGCATAGACAGTCAGCAAGCCACACCTGGGAGATACTTGTCTGAAGTTGATGATTTATTGACAAACCTAAGGTCACCCCATTTCAGTGGCACCGATCAGTAACACCTGTGTAGAGCAGCTGTAGAGGTACCATTTCACCAGCCATTGACAGTGTTCTAGGTAGGAAAAAAATCACGGAGCGGTGCTATCTGCCACCAAATATTCCTGGGGGGCATGCTCCCCCAGGAAACTTTTAGCATTTAGACTCTCAGAGATTGAATCTGGGGGAATTTGAGGCAAATGTGGTAAATGAACGACATGTTTAAAACACAATAGATTACAGATAACTAAACAACGTTTGTGTCTAGGTCTATTGTTCATTGCTTAGATTCTGAGTCTATGGTTGCACATTCTTTGCCATATATCGGCTGCTCTTTCAAAATTGAAGGTAGAGATGCATTGTCCTTCAATGCTAATTCGCATTAAACAATCCAGTGTCGTAGTTTTAAGTCTGTTTCTCAAAGAAGTCTTGATACGTTTCATTGCTGAAAAGGAACGCTCGCATTCAGCTGTGCTAACAGGAATGATAGCAGCCACAACTAATTGAGTATTAACAACATCCGCTGAAATACGTAACATACGCATATACTCGCTATCAAAAGCACCGAGCAGCTCTCTTCCTGGGTGGCAATTCAGCAATGGTAGGAAGAGACTCAGTGTGTCGTTTTCGGCTAGATTCTAACTCTTTGCAATACAAATCTCGAAACTTGCGTGCAGTTGACTCAGTGACTGGATGTCCCAGCTCTTTTGTGAATTGTCGTGATGCTGCCGTGGGACCATGCTGAGCGGCATACCTTCCAATGTCAGCTCGTTGTTTGCTTGAGTAGGAGTGGTACAGCTTGGTCTTCTGCTGCCGTACGACACAGCCTCAACCTCCTTGTTACACACAGCTACCTCCTCATATATGCACTGTGTCGACACAGGTGTTGGCAAAAATATGCCTCTATCCTCAGGTTTCTTGCGCTTGAAAGAGTTCAAGATAGACAATAGACATCTCTCTACGTTCTGACACCGCGCCAGAGAGCCAGCTTCTCTGCGCGCGGTTCCCGCATGCCACGTGGTTGATCACGTGATTTACACGAGTATTTGCGGGAATTTATGGGTGCGTTTGCACAAAATCGCACAATTTTATTCTTAGCATAAATAAGTACTTTTACGGTATTCTATCTTCACTTCTCTGCATGTATTATTAATAACATTTGTTCAAAATGTACCTGATTACGTAATCACTAAACTAAGGCTGCATGCGAGAGCGACAAACTGGCACAGTTGCGGACCGCGTTGCGTGGCCCAACCCATCAATAAGCGGTGCGCATGCGTATATACTAGACGCGATCAATGCGTGATGCTGGCTCACCTCCATCTGATCCGCTTGCTCTGTGTACCTTGGAGGCACAAGAAGCCACCGCGAAGGCGCGTATATCGACTCCCGCATGCTATATAATACCGTAGCTAGCCCATGTCAGACTCTCCGCGGGCTACTAGCGGGAGACCGCGGATAAACGCTAATTAGCCGGCCTAGCCCATCCATTTAGCGGCACCGCGCATGCGTAGTTCGCCGAGGGTTTGCACTTTAGTGCTTTTCATTACCTCTGCGGAATTCTTCAACTGCTGGGGTTTGCTAACACCTAGTCATTTCAATAAGGGAATTTTCTATGTGACGGCTCTGTCGGACACTGCACATACCGTAATGTTCTATTCTAAAAACACGCGCGAAATATTGAACTGCTCGCGCTCACTCGCTAACAATGCATTGTATGATAGCATCATCTACCTAGCACATAATGCAGGGTTGGCCACTACCACACATGTGTTGCTGATCCTGCAACGCAGTTCAATAGAACCTCTGCTGTATGAAACAATGATAAGCATAAAGTGCAAACCCTCGGTGCAAGGAATGCTCGCCCGCTAATCTGTTTGCGCATGCGCATATAGCACCACTAACAGACCAGCCTGAACCACACCATGTGGTCTAACCTGGAGCGCTCTAGTACAGTCTAACTGCATCAATGGGTGTCTTTTAGAGCAACACTGAACTGCATACTCATTCCTGGAGTAACTTCATCCCTCCACAGTGCAATTGGGTTTTTGCTGTTTTTCACACCATATATTTGAACATAGTCATTTCAGGAAAATGCCCATTTAAATTTTCAAGTTCTCATAATGCCACTTCGTAGCTTGTATTGCGGAATAGCTGTATAGACAAACAAACAGACAGACAGTACTGAAGAACCAATGCACAAAGGACTGGACACTGGAGATTCAGGGATGTGCAAGGCTGCATGTAAAATACATACTGAGCCTGCAAGGCTTCAAAAGGGATGGTATAAAAAGAAAGGGAGACAAGATAGGGATGGGATACATGAAGCGTGGTTAATGAACAGATTTGAGCACGCTGACATCCCCGACCGCATCACACAATCCCTATATTGTGTGCCACTCTTTAAACTCCCTATAACTGTGTTGGTTACGCGGTAGCATGACTCTTTATTAACCCTCGGCGTGCATGGTTATAGTACTTGGTTTGTCATTCATTCCGTCCGTCCGTCCGTCTGTCTATCTGTTACCACGTTTTCTGCCGTCAAGTTTAATTTACTTGTTGCGTTGTAGATTTGAACCCCTACCAGCTGAGTTGCCTCAGTTGGTAGAGCGCTTTCTGCCGAGTGTTGTGGGTTTGAATCGACTCTCGGCGAACTGCGCATGCACGGTACCGCTAAATTGATGGGTTGGGCTATAATAGTATGGGTTTATTCGTGGTCTCCCGCTAGTAGCTCGCGGAGAGTCTGACACGGGCTAGCTACAGTAGTAGATAGCATGCGGGAGTCGATGCACGTTGTTTGTTGCTACTTCTTGATTATTGTGCCTTCAACATCACAGAACAAGCGGACCCGTCGAAGTAGCTCTGCTACTTAGCATTGGCTTGTTTCACTTGGTGTTCACGCCAGACTTCTGAACGCGGCACGTTTACGAAGATCCCATTTTTAATAATGAAGCCGTGTAGTGCTGACCGTTGGTTGTCGCTAATGTACCTGTTTGTTTGCACAACATGTTGGCAGAAACGTGGTACAATACGGACAGACAGGGACAGACAGAAGGACCAGAAGATGGACAGACCAAGTACTGTAACCCTCGCTGCGCATGCATGCTGAGGGTTAATGAGTTAGCTGATGAATTCAGGACTTGTTGAATAATGTATCAAAGGCAGGTGGAACATTAGTAGGACTATTTTGTACAATGTAACATGATGCAAAGCTACTGAGCTTTTGTATTTCCCTATATTTCTTTTATACACAGGAACCACGTGTCTTTCCAGTCCGGCAGATGCAATTGGCTAAGCACACACCAAGCCAGATAATACAGCTTGCATATCTCTGTGCCTTGCTAGAACAACGACACCAAAAGTCAGATTCCAAACGTTTTACTGCAATAGCCGAGTTTCTCGACAAAGCTGTGCAGGTTGTTCCGGTTGAAAGTGTATTTGATGCTATTACATATGGGAAGAATCAGATTGCTCGAACGTGTGCAAATGCTCTCCAAGAGAGGAGGTTGCAATTGCAACCTTCCCAGCATATGATTATTGGGGCACTAAAGGCATCCATTCGTGCACATACTGGATATGATGGTGCAGTCATAGATCGGTTTATTATTCCTTCTGTAAAAACCTATCAGCAGCCAACACATACAGCATTGTGGTGGCTTCAGTCAACTCAGCTACAAGGTCCTCAGATGTTTTTTCCTGCAATAGGTATCGCACAAGTAGTAGTTGAATCAACGCACAAGGGTATGAAGCCAAAAGGAACGATGAAACCCAAACCACCGACAAGCTTGCGAACAACTAATGACAGAAGAATAAAACGGTCTTCCCAGCGATCATCAAAGACATACTCGGATGCAGCAAAAAGTTCTCCCTCTCAAAGCACAAAATTGATGGCAATGCCCTTTTCTATCCCAATTTTTCTTAATTCCCATCTGAACCAATCACCTGATCCTTTTCCAGAATATATCACCAGATATGTTGATGAATGCCTAAAGGGGTTAATTCGGCACAGCCACACAGCAATGTCAATACAGTGTGGTGCTGAAATGAGAGTTGTGACAAAAATGAATGTAGGAGAATTATACTCAGCACTCGGAGGTAAATCTGCTCACTTTAAGTCACCCTTACAAATTTTGAGGGAAGGAATAACTAAACTCGGTACATACACCGAAGGTCACTTGCTTCCAGCAACCAAATTGCCTAATGAGCAAATGCTAGCTCTAATTGAGGGTATATTTCAAAAAGATGTTAGCCTCTGTGCCTTGCTTTTGGGTGCCTTTATGGAGCAACAAATTCACATTCCTCTTATACACTCTGCCAAGACCACAGCTGAAACACTTTCCTCGCAAACCGCCCCAGTGGCTGTAGGAGTATGGGCATTGTTCAGCCAAAACCTAGCCTCCCTGGAAGCCAAGCTCAAAGGCCACAATAGAAGTCAGCTCATTGTTGACATCAGAGAATACATGGAAGGATTCAGCCAGAAAATGCTTGATGACGAAGATAAAATGTATGCTGGTAAGCTACAATTCCTTTTACACGGAATACAGAGAATTGTCACAGCCAGCAGCCAGTATATCAGTTATTCCTTAGAGCACCAACTTTGTAGCAATCCAAAATTTGACAAATCCTTGACCCTGAAGTATCTAATCACAGAGTGGGACACCATCTTTCAGAATGATGCACTGTCCCTCATTGGCGAGTCTCACAGGCCACTTGTTGCTAGATGGCTAAAATGGACAATTCTTGTTCACGACCTGCGAGAAACCCTAGCTCAATACACATGCATTGGAGTAACTGGATTTGTCAACTCAGGGAAGTCACTACTGGTCAGGAAGCTTTTTAAAATTCAGGTATGATATATATATGTGTATGTTATTTATTACACCTTCACCACGACAAAAGGTGTGATAAAATGTTTATTACCGTTGATTGGTTGTTGCGGCGCGCGCCCTTCCAAATAAGACAATGCACGTGATCCATACGTCAAACAAGCGATTGGAACGCTCGTCGGGGGTAGCTATGGCGGAGGCTCGTTTGGGCGGGAACGACTCCTTTTCACCGCTTGACGATGAACCAATGCCTGAAAGTGTCAGCAGATCCGTGACTGCAAGTAGCTACGGACATACGACCAAAACCAGCGACGGACGTCGGCCAAAAAGCGTAGCTTTCTCTCTCTCTCTAAAAGACCCGTTGAGTGGTTTCAGTTTGTGGATTCTGCCAAGAGCGAGGCTCTCAGCAAGAAGTTTGTACCAAAGAGTACCGAAAAAGGAACTCAGTGGGCGCTCTCTGCTTTCCTATCGTGGTGCGAAAGGCGAAATGCAAGCTTTGCGGAGGAATCTGAGAATCTAGTACCGTGGGATCTACTGGCCCTCACTGACCCTGATATCCTCAGAAAATGGCTGACATTTTTTGTTGCTGAAGTAAGGAAAGAGGACGGTACCGCGTTCCAGAAACTTTGAGTGTCCTGTTTTTAGATCATTTCATTTCTCATGCATTTTGAGCCATGTATTCAACCTAAAATTACCAGGTTTCTGCATTTTGCCATGATTTTGCTATGTATCTGTACATTTTTAGCTATGATATCCAACCCTACACACAGTATTCACACCATTCCTCAGATATACACCCTAACCACTGAGATATTGTCCCACTTAGGTGGTGTAGTGGATTTATTGTACTAGAATAAACTTAGCAACGACCTAGCAACGGGTAATAAATATATTTTTCACTGTTTCCTATTCTCTTTTACTGCCATTAATCATTCTATTTATGTACACAGGAAGTAAAGGTTGGCATACAAGCTGCAAAACGCACTACAGTCCCTCTGCTGTACAGCCTGGAGGATAGCGTTGAAGGCCTTGATGTCATTGACTTCCCTGGAGTGGACGACACTGATCACACAATACCTGACCTGGCACGGCTCCTGCTCTCTCTTGCTCAGATAATAATTTTTGTTGTGGACTTCAAGTAAGCTGTACTCTATCAGAGTGATTTGGGAAGCCTACATAGGGATTTAAAATACACAAATTTCTCTATCTAACCGACATTGCCACATTAGACAATGGGTATGGACAAGTATCGTGCACACGCTTGCCAAATATGCGTGTAGCAATACATTAGGGCTGAAATGTTACATTGCAGTTAGGTGTAAAATTTATACCTCATTCTTTTAAGGACTCTCTTATTATAGGCGGGCATGTTCCGACCCTGTGAAGGCTTGGCTGCAGGCACTGAGCAATAATGGTGCTCCAATCCACATATGTCTGACTCATGCAGATGAGCTTTATGCTGAGTGTAAAGCTGAAGGAAAAACTACAAAATATCGAAGACGAGCTGAAGGTACGTATCATTATGTCTAATACATCAGTGCTGTTTCACTTGCTCTTTCCAATCACAGCACATCCGTTCTCACTTAAAACTTGATCCACATCGCACAAGGGAGGTTATTTTATATTCATTTAACCACACATCTGAACTCAGTGATGAAGAACTCAAAAATTGTGGCATAAATTCTGAAGTTGATGTAGGAAACTGGCTGGTCCATGTCCTGAGAAACAAATTTAAACAGGAGGAGCTAGCAGAGAAGCTTAAAAGGTTCTTAACATGTCAGTAGCTAATAGCATTCAGTAGCTAATAGCATTATAGAAGTGTCACCCTTTATTAAAGAATATTATTAAATGTATGATCAGGAGAGGTATTTAACAATGCATTATGTCGTTGTGCTTTGGTAGATCAAAAGTGCCACCATGGGGCAAAATTGTTTTAGTGCGTGCTGTTATTATACTTCCTGTCAACCTCCTGCGCGGTAACTGTTTGCTGCAGAAAGACAGTGTTTGTCAGAGAGTGGTCGATGGCGGGGGCATTTGGCAAGTGCATTAACACAAATGCAAAACAACTAACTTGTGTTAATGTCTTATCAGTGCATCAGTGCACATAATGGCAAATTGTGTTTACTCTTGAAGTTCTCTTGCACGCACTTTACTGCAATAGTGATCAATTTATATTATACGCAATGTCAGTTATATTCCATTATTCAAGTATCACAGAGGTTAGGCTCTACGGTCTATTTGCGTTCACCTGAGCTCAAAAAGTTGTTGCGTAAACTGTTGGTGCCACTTACTGTACTTATGGCATACTATTCTTATGGGACATGCATCTACGATAATGTTTAGAATGCAGTGAAGCATATCATCAGAATGTTGCGAGGACTCCAATGGTGTTAGTGTTTTCACAATTGGTAGTAAAAAAGGAGTTATGACAATTTTTCGGACTCAGGTATATACAGTCAAATAGACTTCAGTATAACAAGTGGATGGTAATGTGTGGGATGCTTATGTTTTGTCCATTTTGGCACTAAGCAAAAGTAGTAGGCTTCAGCATTGTTAGCTACTGTAAATCCCTTTATGAATGCAATAAAACATACTTTTATTTTAGCGATTTTGATGATGACAGCATGAGGACAGTTATACTACAGAACCAGTGATGCAAAAAGTATATACAACAGTGTTAGACTACAGAATCCATAATTCAGTGCTTACAACTACTATCGATGATCACATAGACAGCGTGTGCAATAAGCAGTCTGCATGAAGTGGCTTCAGGACTGATATGCGGAGATCTGGCTAAGATGTTTCACGCTGCCATTCATCCCTCAAACATGTCCTTGATGAAGACCGTGCTCGAGCTGCGTGACAGGTCGCCCGTCCGGTTTTGTTTCAAGGCTTCATAGTAACGTTTCTTCAAACCCCGTACAGTATATAGTCTCGCTCACCGGCTCCCACCTCTTAGAACACTCTCAACGGCCTGCATTGTTGCCGGATCGGCCGCGAACGTGTCCAATTTAGCACGGGATTCAGGCGCAGAGTAGTATGTGTAGGTACCTCTGGGACGTTTGGTCGCAGACTCGAGACTCCATAGCCTCCCAACTCGCGTTATTCAAGCATTGACTCTTTCTTATTGGTCTTCCTGAGGCGATCAGGTAGAAACAGACTTGGTCAGACGAACTAGAAAACCAGCGGTAAAGCGACATGAAGAGCTCACGTGGCGCTTACTGATCATTTAATTTTTAACGCGTCCAGGAAATCGCGAATGTCGCGAAAATTATAAGACCACAAAAATAAAAGGATTTACAGTAACTGGTGGGTGAAGTGATAGTGATAACCTGCAGAATTTGATGAAACAAATAAGGGAAATACAATTATCAGAGCGTCGGAGACGCTCTATATAGGGATGATACGAGTGAAATCTCACGTGATCCGTGTGACAAAAAGC